TATCGTGCAAGGGTGCGTTACATGTGACGAAGATATTCAGTTGCAGACTAAACGATTGCCAGGATGTACACCTACCGGCTCTGGCTGCGTGCGCCATCATGATCTTTTCCTCTTCAATTGGAATTCTAAGCCAGAGGAATAGTGAGCGGGTTCCACCACAGCATTCTCCGCTATCTCGTCACTGCTGTCGTCCTCGGAGGGTTCGCGATCGGCGTCGGTGAGTCGACCTACCTTCCCTTCAACTCTCTCCTCAACGATCCTCAGTCCTGGCATACGAAACCTGGACCGTCGACTCCTTCAGCGGGCTCCCTGATATCGCCTGGGCCGTCGAGGCCTCCCTCGGCACTTCGAGCATCATCGACGTCCTCATCTCCCTCGCGATGTGTTACTACCTTCGGAAGAGCAAAACTTCCGCGTCGGGTAAAACTTCCCCCGTGCTGAACTCGAGGATTTCGCAGATGATTCAGTTCACAATGTCCTGTGGGATAGTCACTGCGTGCGTTTACGTTTTTGATTGCTCGGCGAGGGTGCCCGCTGAGTCGAGGTTATTCTTCATGTAATTACAGGCTCTGCTCGTTGGCGTGTCTGTTCTCGTTCATCGCCATGCCGGACAACTTGATCTTCTTTGCGCTCACTTTCATACCCACGCGTCGTGCGTCTCTTCCCTGCTTCCTCCTCTCTTCGCGTTGGGTGCAGTCCCTCACACGAGCCTCTGATTCAGTATATGCTACCAGTTACGTGGCGATGATGAACGCGCGTAGACGTCAAGTGCGGGCGCCTGGATCTACCGCTGGTGCAATTTCGTTCTCCATGGTGGACACACGTGCCATAGGCGCTGGCCCTGGGGGCGGCGCGCAGTCGGAGATGTGGGGCGGGAATCCACCGACGATGGATATTGATCTTGAGAGTGCTGCGTCTTTCTCTTTCATTCTTTGCTCCTTACGCATTCTGATTTCCAAAACGCAGCAGCAACATGCGAGCCCGAGGACGGACATGAAAGCGCCTGGTGCCTTTCCTTGGCAGCGGCCCATTTAGAGACATTCTTTCGAACTTTGTTGTATATATTACTGTATCTTCCATTCCTTTAACCCGGAGAATAGAGAAACGCTGGTCGTGCATTGAATGCATCTTAAAATGGGTGGAGAGTACTGGTGAAAATCGTCGTATATGACGGTTTGGGTTGAACCCAGTGTTGTGATTCGTAAAGCTTCACCTTTTAGACCGACCGCTCGGTGCGTCGACTCCCATTGTATCAAGTACGCAAAACTGTTCCAAAACTGTTCATAAAGTGATGGTGGATCTGTGGAGACGATCTGCACGTTTGGTCTGACTCCAACGATGGTCATAGGAAATAGCCTTCGTTTCGTCCTCAGCGACCTTCATTTCATTATCCCTTCTGTTCCGTGCGCTCAGTCTCAGAAGCCTTTCAAACCTCCGCCACGGATTCAACATATGCAGTGTAGATGAATCACCGCTATGTAAACAACTTCCACTGCGATAATCGATTTATTTCGGAAAAAAGCAAGGACCTCCGCACGCCACGATTTATGCCCCAGCAGTCCCAGTCGGACTCGCCGTCGTCGTCTTGAAGTCCGTAGTAAAGTACACCGTCGAGCACGGAAGACAGAACGCTACTTGCGTCAATTTGTATCCCAGGACCCACAGAAAATCGAAAACGCACTGGTCGTGAGATACGGAATCGTCTCGCACCAGCATGAGAGGGTGTATGCAGGACCAGAGTACATGCTGCTATCCGATGTGGTACCGGTGAGTTGAGGGGCAGGTGGCGCTGTGAGCACCTCGGTGGGTGCCTGGGAAATATTGGTACGAGAGATAGAGGGACATGATGAGTCCGTACGTACCAAGGCTGCGCTGAAGCCTGTGTGGGCAACGGCCGAGAGGGCGATTATTAGACGTGGTTGGAGGAGCATCGGCGAGCAGAGATCCCTGCCAGTATGTAGCCGTTGGGCGTTCTTTTATACCTGTCGATGAGACGGCCGGTCATCTACGAAGGATAGTTTCGATGTCCTCGTGGTCGGAGAGACAATTCAAATGGCCTGCGATCTGTCAGACAAGGAACAAATGCGGAGGAACTCACTGCATATGACTACGGGCTTGAGCGGGCTTCTTACTGATTCAGAACCAGGGTGGTCGTTGGGCTTTCCTGATACTTACCGGAGAAGAGACAACAGCTCGGATTGTGGCGTGTTTGGCGAGTTCCTGAGTTCCAGGAGGGCCAGCTGCAGTACAAGTTTGAGCTCTAGGACGGTCGAGGGACAGAGAGTCAGAGACGGACAGAATGTCACAGAAAGAGACTTTGCCACATGGGAGTCGGAAGCAAGCCCGATTGTATGGGAGGGCCTAGACCACTCCAATTGATCCGGATCGCTGATTGTCCTTGGTTCGATTCTCGACCGACGTATATTATTATGGAGCAGTATTCTAAAGATCCTAGTCTATGAGAATAAAGGAGCAGTCTATCTAAGCGAGCGAAAAAATTAAGAATTACCGTACCACCCGTTCTGTAGCAATTAAATAGTAAGTATGTAGATCTCCAAACTGCAACTTTCAACGTTCAACTTCAAGCGCCGTATCGTGCATTTCTACAATAAGCACCGCACTGGTGACCGGGAGGGCATGTACATTGCTGGAACCTACAAAGTGATTCAGTTTCATTGGAATCGATTTCTGGAGCGGTCACACTCACCCCGAAGTCGAGTAGCCGAACTCGTGCCCCTCAGTCTGAGCGAAACCCATAGCGGAATTCGCGTACTGTCCGGACTGAGTGGGGTACTGCTGCGGAAACGAAGCTCCACCACCCATGGAGGAGTATTCCGGATACGACGGAGCCGGCTGCTGCTGCTGCTGATAGTACTGCCCGCCCCATTCATCCCCGCCATAGTTATTGTTGTTTAGGAAAGTCTCCTGGCTTTGGTACGCGTTTGGTGGCTGCGTTCCATACATGCCATCGTACCCCGCAACAGCACCGGCGTGTGGGTTCATCGGCGTTGGCTGGTGCTGGCTATGGCCATGGTGTCGAGAAGATGTCGATGGATGCGGGCCCGGGCCGGGCGTGTGTCTACCACCGCGAATCTCATCAGGAGGCCCCCGAGGCTCCGCACCCACAGCGACATATTCACAGTGCAGACCACGCTTGGCACAGCGCTGACAAGGTTTGGTGGGGATCTGCTCTTTGGTGACGCACTGTCTGTTGTGTCAGTTAACCGAACAATAGCAGGGTTGAATGGGGCTGGCCTTGATTTTCATTTGGCGACAATTAGTGCATGCGAGGTAACCTCTCTTCCGCACTTGAGGGTTTTTGGGATCCGGAGACATCCTGCTTGTTGAAATCCGAGACTGAGGAAAGCCACAACCGAATGGCAGGCATATATACTCACCCTTGAGCGTTAAGCTTTCGGCCGAGACACCAAACTCTGGTCGTCCGGACCCACGTTCTATCCGAGTGCAGTGGCTTCCTCGTGCGGGACCATTGGATCAGTCTTCCGCCCATAGCGATATATTAATGTGTGCGACACTGACTGTATCGTCTCGCGATGGCAGCTGGGAGTAAGTAGGTCATGGTGAGTGGGTTTGTGATGTATCATCCCCACGGTTGGAGTGCCCGGTTCCTGGGTGATTCACGCGTAGGCGTAGCTTGGTGACGTTCGACTTCCTGCATAGATAGACTTACCAAGAAGAAGGCCCGGCCGCCCGGGTGGAAAGCTTGAGCTGGCTGCCAAAGTAAAAAAGAATTGCAGCCAGTGTACAAAATTCGACTCTCTTCCATCCACTGTCGCAGCTACTCGCGTGCAGCATTCCATCCGTGTCCTTGTCATTCACAGCGAAAAGGCGTTTTAATTATGTTACTCACCTAGACGCAGTCCGAGTCCACAATAATTAAAGCCGGGGCTGTGCCGTCGTTCACGGTGTATCGGGCAAGGAGGATCCCTGATGGCGAAGCATCTCCAACGCATATGACATCCCGAGTTGTCTCACTATTTCCAGCCCATTGACATGTGATCGGCGAGAGAGTTTTGGAATTTAGTGTGGGGTACCATGAGACTTTGCATCAGGACAGGCAAAAGCAGTTTACAGTAATTCAAAGCTCACCAAATCGGATCGGAAGTGGCACAGATGACCCAAAGGTCTCCCTCCCCAGTTACATCGAAAAAAAAGAATCTTGAGATAAGGTTGAAACCACGAGTTGGCGGTCACCGGTCATCATTGGCGTCGGAGAAATAGGTGACTAATTTCTGCAAAAAAATCAACAGCAGTCTCGTTACTCACCTGCCGTCTCCAAGGCGAACCCGAGCGTACACAGCCAGTCTGTACGCAGAGCTGCAAAAGCCTCGGAGAATTATCATCACTCGTACCTGGAACTAGGAAGATAACGGATCAGGCCAGAGTCTGGCCTCCGGACCTTGCTTACGCCCGAAGTCGATGCTGGCTAGTGAGAACCCGAGTCCGAAGGGCCCGACAAGTTCACCCTGTGTGCGTCTAGCGCGTGTGACTCCACTGTCAAAGGTGTTCGCGGAGCGCGGGTGAAAGAAAAATACCCAACCTACGTTCAGCTGACAGGCGGCACGAACAAGTCGATCAGAATATTATTCAGCTTGTCCAACATGGGTATTCGCCAGGGCGCGCGCGATATGGTGGCAGATGCGGGCGGTGCGCCCCATCGGAGGAAGGTGTGGTGGTATTCTGCGGTATCAAGGTGTATTTCACGGTGTGTGAGCTGACGGGAAGCCGGGATTATCTCGCGCAGAGTGAGGCGATGGAGCGTGAGTTACTGTTTCCAGACTCCCGGAGCGGTAGAGAAGATCGGCTGCAACGTGTTGGAGGTTCTGCGACGGTGACGAGGTCCGGTCTTGCTGAGTGTGCGAAGGACAAGCGAAGGAGAGCTCGTTGTAGTTCCGCCTCAACGGTCCTGGCCAGCCAACAAGGATGCTGAGACTCCTCGATACGTTGGACTAAAGTCCAGCGATAGAGCATCCACCCATGGCCGTCTAGCTCAGTTGGTTAGAGCGTCGTGCTAATATCGCGGTCTAATTTGTGGCCATATTACGCGAAGGTCTTGGGTTCGACCCCCACGATGGCCATTCCGTTTATTTTTTGCCTCTTTTTTCCCTACTCACACCATCCGCTCTCTCCCCAGTTCCCCGCAGCCAGTTGCTTTACCCCCTGAAGGTCTATTGTTTTTTGAAACAAGCCGCAGTCAGCAGGTGTGATTCTCAATCAATCAACATATAATTTGCTGTGCCTTCCTCCGTCCACGTCATCCCATCCGCAACCTAAGATCTACAACTACATAGTACAAGCGCCGGATTGCCACAACGCATGAGTCTGTGATATTCAAAACGGTCCCCGGGCCACTCATCCATTGTCTCAGGAATAGTTCTCTCGCTCAACTCTCGCTCTCGCCTCGGCGCCTCCTGGAACCCGCTCTGCTATGGCTCGTACCTCTGAAAACACCCTGTATTTCCACTGGGGACCAGCGCTCGCGCCATCCCGTGAAACTCTCCGCCATTGACTGGTTGTCTAGCCTGTATCTCCAAGTGCACTGCCTACCTTTTTGTGCTTACCAACTCCGAGGGTTCTTGCTCCTTTCATGTGAAATGCTAGAAATGACATCCTAGTGTGGCCTTCCCGCGCTTCCATACGGTTTGCAAGGCTCCCCCACGTATGCACCTTCCCTGCGTGGACGTCTACATATATGCATCGGCTTCTGTGATGTTCCGACGGTGACGCGTCGCTGCATTCACGAGCCTTTCACTTCCCCAAACGTGCAAATGCACCGGAGGATGGTTCCCCGGACTGGGCACCGGTCAATCCACTTAATTTGGTTCTCCGGCCTCCATGCATGGTCGGCGCCAAGATCGCTGCCCTACGAGAACGCCGAATTCTGGCAGTCGAGCTCATCAAGCCCGCTCAGCATGCACCTGTGTATCCGCAAGTCCTCTTCTAAATTGGTGCCTATTTCAGTGCCGTAGTAGGTTGTCACACGCAGATGCAGCATCGACAAGTCGCCGAACAAGTTTACCCCGCTAATACGTCCACAAAGGCATTTGGATATATGCCCCGGCCATGCCTTATAAACCACTCTTTGGGCAGGCAAGTATCCCAACAAGCCTCAGATGTATTCCCTTCAACGCTCACTCTCGGTCAACCCCGCCGCACTCGCTCCAGGCCATCCATACCCCCTCGACGCCTCTCGAATCACATGCACTCTCCACTTTGTCGAATTCCACGGCATGGGCCCGCCGTCCCCTGATCTCGGGCGCGCCGGTGACATCTACATCGACCTCAGCCCGCGTCTCCACGCGCTTTACTGGTGTGATCACGCTTCGCGAGGACGGGGCACGCAGTGGAGACGTTGGACGGCGCTCCTCGTCGATATCGATGCTAATCGAGCCCCGCCGAACAAGTACCTTGTCGCGCACCCGTGGGTGAGGAACGCCGAGATGTCGGATTTGTTTTTGTGGGCTGACCCCGGGGGTGTTTCGTGGATTTCCAAGGAGGCGTTATGCGCGAGTCGAGTCGAGGTATCTTCCTCTTGTGCTTCATATTTGCATATTTACCACCCGGATTACAGATGATTCGCCGCGGGATTACCCCCGTCGTACCGGACGTCAAACCGGACGTGGAGGGCCTCGTCTCACAGATCCTCGCCCAGATTCTTCAGCGGCAGCAGCCATCATCATCTGCCGCTGTACATCCAAGTTCGCGCCACATGGATGTCAGAGCAATGTCCCCTTTGCCGGATTTTCATCCTCGTACGCTTGAATACCCAAATCTGGGCCCACCGGCGAATAGCTTGCTGTTTCAACCTCCCCCGAATCCACACACTCCATTTGGAGGATTTGCGCCTGGACCACCACCTGGATTCGGTCCCACTCTCGATAGCCATGGAGGTGTTATTCCCTCGAGAGAGGAATTGTGCAACAAAGCGCTGGATCGGATGCAGAGGGCGCAGAAGGCTGAGCAAAGGACTAAACAAGGTGAGTCATCTTCCCGAGGATTGGGTTTTCAAGGTTGGAATTTACCTTATTTATTTAGAGCTCAGACGCACGACACGGGACCTTTCCAAATGTGCGTGGTCTCCCTTTCTATGAATCCCTCGCAATGGCTGATTGGCTATCGTATGGTAGTGAAGAAACAAGAGAAAGATGCCATCGGGAGTACGCCGATGAGCCTTTATCTTCCGCTCAACACACTAATACTTTGGCAGTGTCGTACCTATACCAGAAACGCGAGCAAGAACTAGTCGCAGCACTCGCAGCCGCGGAACATCGCTCTTCCGCCGAGCTCCAACAAATCCAAGCCAGTGAGTGGCATTTTGAATTCACGTCTGGGACACCTCTTCAATAAGAATTGGCCTGTTCAGCTGTACAGGCGTTACAAATCCAAGCTCAGACTTCTCGAGAGGATACGCATAATGCCGGTGCGTTGATCCATTGACTATTGAATCCTCGACTTGATGATTCTTGGGACAGTGGAGCAAGTGCGTCGGTCGGAGGAAGGTACGTCGTCGTCTGTTGGCTAACGCTATCACGAATCTTCCTTGCATCGATTTTAGAGTTGGCCGCTATCCAGAGGGAGATACAAAACCTCCGATCACAGGAATTTCGTTGATGAGCGTGTCGCAGGAGGAGGGAGGGAGGATTTAGACGGCAGGTGCATGTTGCTCAATTTGATATCTGAACACAGAGTGGTAAATAAGTATATGTTGTACACACATCTGTGTTGCCAGTTGGCTTCCAATTTCCGTGGCGTGTGCTGATCTAGCCTGATGCGCGTTCGATTCGGGCTGTTGAGAATTCCAATGAAAATCAGCTGCACCCCTTTTGTTTTACACTGATTCAGTACCACGTGTTGCACTGGTCAGCTCTGCAGAAGATGGCAGTTTGATTCTTGAGTCACCTATAAAAGAGAGCGATGCGACAAAATACGTCATTCAATCTTCAGCAATTAATGCCAACATCTCGATTCGAACGAGTCTCTGGCATCACAGGATTCAAATATTCATGTGTACACTAACCTAGCGTTGATAAGCGTGCCTGTAGATAGTCAAGGGGAGGGAAGATTGAGACGTACGGCCCAAAGACGGCCCTGTTTCATTTGAACGCAGAGGCTTAGTTCGCAAGTTTGGACTATTATACATATTTAGATCGCCGGCGGAGATGGTAATAAGTATATAGATTCGTTCATTGTTGTACGTCCTTCATGACCGGGTTGGCTTCCCATTTACTTGAAGTGTGTTGTTCATCTGGCTGGACAATTCCTTGACAATTCCCCTGTGAACTTTTTTGTTTACCCCTTCCGATCTGAAACCATGATTCAGTGTCTCGGCCGGACGTTGAGGACAGAATATGGCGTCTTGGGTCGGCTATAATAGATGGTGAATTCGAGAATGCAACAAAATACATACCTGGACATACTACAATGCCAACATCCCGATTCGAACGAGACTTGGCGGGCCGAAACGAGGATTCAAATATCCATGGCTAACTGCTTGACTCGGAAGGGTACTTGGACAGACCCAGTGGATAACCCCAGCTTCCATTCACAGCTCACTTGAACTCAGAAAGATGGCAATGTAAATTGGCGAATGTTCCCCACACAAGAGACAGCCTCGAAGAGTCAGGACCCAACAAGATTGTTTTGGCGGTGCAATGGGCACTGCGCGCTACAAGGGCGGAGATTTTTATTCGGTTTCGGGATTCCGTGACTGCACTGGGACCAAGTACTTGGATCGCCGGCGCGGTAAACAGGTCTTACACTTCGTTCACTGCTGTACTTACATCCGTGTTGCGTGGGTTGACCTGGCCCGGGCTCGTTCGATTCGGGCTGCGGGGCATGAATTCTTCGGGCACTTTTTTTGCCCTTCTGATACCATGATTCAGTATCAAGAAGAGTGCGCGCTCCGCAGAAGCTCACAGTGTCGCACTGGGGACTTTTTTGACAGTCCTAGCAAACCAGTATCCTTTGGACTCCAGATGCAATAAAATTTACAAACGATGCCGATCAACGATGCCAACAGCCCGATTCGAACGAGGTTCTGTGGGCCAGGTTACGTGTTAAGTCTTAATTCAGACTCCAGAGTGAGCTGCAACAAGCAAAGGCACGGACAAGCCTTGTGTCTAGGCATGAAACGCGGAGGAACCACACAGAAATGGACTCGGACTGGGTGCGGACCCTCAGTGTAGGACTGTCAATAATATCACAGTCCTCATTGAGGACTTGGCTTCAAGTTTTATATGTAAAGGCTCGGGCAATGTATTCAACCGGCGACTGTTTCCAACACAGAGAGATGGCGGATACCAGAACAAGGGACGGCCTCGAGGAGTCAGGACCCTCACACAAGATTGCTCTGGGATTGCGCGCCAATTACCTGCAAGCGCTGGAGAAGTTCAAGTTCTATCCCAAGTAAGTACGACCCGAGAACTCGGAGGAGGGTTGTAAATTTACCCCTCCTCCAAGTCGGCGCCCGTCGGCACCGGCACCGGTATCGAAACATAAGATCTCCGCCGCAAAACTCGACTTGGAGGCATCAAATCGTGGGCGCCTTTTGTGTCGGATTACTCATCCGTCCCCGGAGTATTCATCGTCCAGACTCCAGACAAGCGGAAAATTGAAAGAGTTTTAAAACGGCGTTTTATTGTACTTTACTCGAAATCGAGGGGCATTCCAAACAGACAGAGGTTCGCGGGACGCCCCGGGAGCACTGGCAGCGCTGCACCCCCCAATTTGGACCACCATTTGTCCTATTTCAGCCTGACAGTAGGTATCACTGTCGCAGGGGATTGCCGCCATGAAACTAGTTTTGTGGGCAGCCCATGCCAATACTAGAACAAGAACCAGCCTCGAGGAGATTTCGTTGAATTGAAAATTTGCGCGGGGGACCCATTAGCACCCACAAAAGTCCTCATGCATCACGACACGAGGCGCGTGGGAAAGCTGGCTGTCTTCAAGCGGCGTATCTCCGCATGCCTGCTGCTGCTGCGTTGGCGCCCAGCCATCTCCTCATTTAAGTGGGACCTGGCTGGCCTGGATACCTCCAATCCATGTCCTTCACCGATACCGTCACTCGTGCCCTCGA